GCTCTTTGGGTTACTTCATCCACTCAGAAACTGACTTGGCATTCCATGTGGCTATCGTCACTTCTTAAAAACACACATTTTTCTAAACAGTAGACCTATAAATCAGCCAACATAAATGAGCAGCTCTACATTTGTAAATTAGTCTCATATTGTCTTATAAATTGGTCCCTTGTTTGATGCAAATGCACAGCTGGTTTGTCTTGGATAAGCATATTATTAGCAGCGTTATTATAAGATACAAGAAAGAAATTAGATGAAGGGGCCACTGAGCAAGGTGGAAAGCAAAGCAAATGTTCTGATTCTAGCAGGGATGATGGTGATCAAAGGGTAGGAGGTGACACAGCATTAAGTTTCCAAGTCAAAGAGATTTAAGCGTTGAAATGATACTATAAAATTGTTAGGCTGCAACTAATTGTAATGATTTTTTCACCTTTCCGTGTGTTATTTGTTTTCCTTTTTCCCTAAGAGTGAAAATGTGCAACGCAGACAATTTTTCCTTCTAAGCACTCCTTTTTATCTCAAAGACGCAGCCAGCAGTCCAACAGTGTTAATCTTTCTTTGCCGCCTGTGTRACTTCTATAAAGACCGAACATTGATGCTTTCCTTATTATTCACGAGGCCAAAGCATCTGCTCCCTTTCCCATCCATAAGAGACCCTCTGCTGGCCGCATGTGAGATTTGTATCTCTGTGAAGATTGTTCATTAATGACCTGTGCCTCATTGCCTTTTTTTTTTGTTCCTGTTTATAAATGATAGGAATCTGCTATTTTAATCTCTTTGTGAATTAGCCAAACGCTCATCCTGCAGAATTTAACACTGCTGGTTAATTTAAAGCATGATAAAATCTGCTGTGCTACAAAGTACCTGTAAAACACTGCCTTACTTGCTGCTTTGCCCGTGCTGCCAGTAGAATATTAAGAATGCTTTTAAGACAGATGTAGGCTGCTTAATATTTTAAGATCTCTGTGTGTTTTTCACACATTTCCCCTACCTGGCACGTCTCACCCAATTATGCAAATAGGGCTGTCCAGATGAAAATGCGTCAGAATGATGTTGTTTTTGTTGTTTGAGATTGACTTTGAAGTCATAGAGCGCTTAAAACAGAATGAAATCGTAAAAAAAAGGGCAATCAGATCTTCCAGGTGCCAGAGGGTAGAAGATAAGCTGACAAGCATTGGCACAAATATTGCTTTCTAACAATTCATGACTTTCCATAAGATGGCAAAGATTTCACAAAGCGCAATGATGACATAACTGTTGCTCATAACTAGACCCCCCACCCCAGGTTTTATTAAGGAAGACCAGGAGTCTCAGTCGAGTCGTAACGATGGTTGTGCTTGACAGTGATGATGAGTCAGCTGTCGCCACGTTCTCTGATGTGCTGTAAATCCAGCCCGTGTTCTTTTTCGATGCTGAATTTTAATTACGCTGCACTGTTAGAGAGCTCAGCCCTGTCAGGTCCCAGCAACGTCTCCCCGCTTTGCTTTGATTCACTTGTAAGAGCAGGGCATCTTTTATTTCCAAGGCGTCAGTCTAACAACGAGAAGGCATACAGGTTTAGCTTGAGGGAACTCTTCGAGTGCTCTTGTAATCTCAGACTGCGCTGTACGAGAATTGTCGTCATGCCAGATTAATTTAGAACATTTTCAGCTGTGCTGTGTTTTAATTTTTCTTTTTTCATGTCGAGAGAGGTACTATAAACAGAGTTCAGTTTGTAAAGTCTGTATTCACTGAAGACCAAGCCCTTATGAAGCATGCCTCACTGGACATATTGCTGAATAATAATACAGCAAACTTTTATAAAGCGCTTTGTAGGGCACTCAAAGATGCTTGGTGGTGGTAAGCTACAATGTAGCCACAGCTGCTCTGGGGCACATTGACAGAGGTGGAGTTTCCATGCACTGGTGCCACTGGACCCTCTTGACCACCACTAGTAAGAAAGGTGGGTAAAGTGTCTTGCCCAGGGACTCACCGATAGGGGATTGAACTGCCAACCCACTGGTTATAGGATGACTTCCCATACCACTCTGCCACCCATAGCTAGAATCAGTTTTGAACAACATAAGCAAATGGTGCATTTCTAAAAAAAATTTTATTGTTCTGGTAACATTTCATAAATAAAAAATAAGATTTATTTTTGGAACTCATCTTATATTATAAAGTTACTGTTTTTCTGGACTCTTGAACATTAACAGACATCCTGACACATTTGTATGTCACAGTGACTTACCTGGTGTGTGCAAATTGTTTGTGACCAATTCCATACATACATACATGCATGCATGCATACATACATACATACATGCATACATACATACATACATACGTACATACATACATACATATATACATACATACGCTTAACCCACTTCTTCCTTTCAAGTACATTAAACTTGCTTTTTCTTGCCATCTTGGTGGCTATGTCATTTCCTACTTGGGATATCTGTGTATCCAGCAGCTTTTAAATCCTGGCAAGGGTTTTTCTGGTTCTTTCTCCATCTTTYCCCCCCATTTCAGGGCTCTAGACTAACTTTTTGCACTGGTTGCACCTGTGCGCCTAACATTTTTTCTTAGGCGCACCAGCAYAAAAGTTAGGTACACCCAAATTTTCAACCACGTCACATTTAACTTCAGAGTTTTACAGGTTAATTTTTAATCACTGTTCATTAAGGCAACATTAAGTCAAAAATAATTAGTTAACAATCTAGTAAACATGAAGTTCTTTATTTGAACCAGAATTGTAGACGTTTAACTTACTGAAAAGTGTTTAAAGTGACTATAAAATTCTAAGTGCAAATGTTTAAGGGCTGAACATCTTATAAACATCTTAAACATTTCATGGTTAAATTTCTTTTAGACACATGGCCTCAGATGGACAACTCCTGTAGTTTGGCCCTATGGATCGTTGGCCTTGGATAAACTAGAATGATGAACAGAGAATATTGATTAATTTCAGAAATATTACTGATATTTATTAAAAGATTGTGCAGATTTTTTAAAAATAACACATAGAAGTCTACAATTTCATTAGCATTAGTTGAATCTTATTCTATTATTTCACTTAAATATCTAATATGTCTAGTCTTATCCTCCTGAGACCCAGAAGAACCTATTTCAGATACTTTTGTTTTCACAAACAGCTATTTTTTGTTGTTCCTGACCTAGTGTACTAAAATGTTTGCTCTTTTAGCAGAAAATGGAACACAATATTTGTAGATACAAAAACATACCTTAGACACGCATTTTGTGATGGAAACACTGTCAATTCTGAGGGGAAAGAGGAAGGGAGGCGTGTTTGTATGCTTTCCAGCTCCTGGAGCTTGCTCCAACTGTGAAAGGCCACTGCCATTGTTGGGTAACATAATCCACCAGGGAGGTCTTAAGCCAGACACTGGGGAGAACTGCCTACACACACTTTCTATCAGGCTCTCGGTACAGATGCAGATCGCTTTCAGTGCTGGAATCAGCCGCTGAATGCTAAGCAATTTTTTAGCCGTTATAAACAGCTAAACTGTGTGTGTGTGTGTGGCCTGATAGTGCACACACATGCCATCATTTGTTGTAATTCTGGACAAAAGCTCTTTGCACTCTGCGCCTGGCTCATTGATGGTGACAGATTTGGACATTTGCTTTTTCCGGTGGTGAGGCGAGCGGATATATGGAGGAATGTGAATATACAAATAACTCCTCTGGGAAAAGTCATGCAGGAGATAACGGTTTCAGGATGATTTTAATGAAGTGGTGTGAAGCTTATGGTCACCTGCAGAACTGATGCCAATAATAATCTGTCTGTGAGAAGCATGGTTTATGGTTTGTGTGGCTCAAAATGGATTTTTATGGACTAGTGCATCAGCATTGGTTTTCCTGTAATCTAATAAGTCTATTAATTTCTCTGCTGTAGAGGCTTAAGTTGCACGCAGGCATAAAAGCACATATGTAGAAAAAAAGTCATATTGATCTGATATATTCAATTTAACATCTAACTGTCATTTTGAGTTAATGCTTGCTGTAGAAAGGTGAAAGGCAGACAATAATTTTACAGATTTTAAGTTAAAATTGTTATGGTAAAAGATGAGTGTTCTCCCCAACACGAACACTGACCATTAAAGGATTGCACAAGATATATAACATAACATAACACCTTAATTTACAACTCTGGCATGAAAGGCAGCAGACATAGCACATTCCTGCAAGGAATGCTAAGCCTTTAATTTATTATGGGATTTAAAATTAGTCATCAAGTCATCTCCTGAGAATCAAGGTAGAGAGCAGCAACAAGTA